GGATTAATTTCCTCTTCTGCAAAATGGGTGTGTTTATCTACCAACTTAATGAGATTTTTAGAACTGAATAATATTTGTATTATGATTATTATGCATTACTGACACTAGGCAAAGTTAGAAAAAGGAAGAGATGGAGGATTATTAATTCATTTATTTCACTACATTTCTAGAAGCTTTGGTCCCCATAGAGCTCTGTCAATGCATCATTTCTCAGCTAGAGTGTCCTTGCAAAGCTAGTTGCAGGCTCTTGTGCTTAAGTCTGATAAATAAGTTTGGGAGTGCTGTAAGCATGGAGTGTATACAGATTTAGTCAGTAAATTTTATACTGAATTTGGTTTTCTCTTTTTTTTAATCTTTTTTTTTAAAGCCTCTATTGACCAACTGCTAAGAGCCTTGAAAGTCTCCAGTATGGTCTGGGAGCAAGGGCAACTGTAAAATGTTGATGTCCTGTTTCCAGAAAACAACAGAGAGGAATTTGAGAGAATGGAAAAAGAAAGAAGAGACTTATGCAAAAGCACACATCTTTCGTAAAATAATCATCCACAATGCCCTAAACAAAAGTACCAGTCCTTGGTCATATCAGTGGAATTTTTGGATGATATCAAAGCAGATCAAATTTCATAGGGACAGAAAAGTATACAGTACTGTCATCAGAATTGCAGCATGGATTGTATACATATGAACTAGCTAGTACTCTAGCTAGTTTGGATGTTAAAAAGCAATGAAACCATAACAGCACAGCCCTTGTAAGTAAATTAAGTAACACGAGTTTGTCCAGCCTGTGCTGAACCATGGGTTTCAAAAGATTTTTTTCGCTTGGTATTTGAGCTAAGTTAAAACTAGCAAGCTCACCTCAATGTACATACAGTCCACTTTCTCTAAGTGGCCTAATGCACCCCACAGTTTTCACTTTTGAGTACTTCCAGTCTGATCATTGGTTGTATAACCCACCCTGACTACTTATGACCCCCACTTTTTGCTGGAAGGCAAAGACAGCAAGAGGAACAGTAAGCATCTTGTACTTAAAGTCCAACAGTCTCATTATGACGGTTTAGATAGAGTGTGTCATGTTTGATTCCCATAGGCCTAGAAGATGTAGAAGTTGGCCCAGTGGAAGGGAGAATGCAGAAGCAATAAATGAAGAAGTCAAGCTGGAACAAGGAGTGGTTACTCCGCCACTGACTCGTATACCTAGCACAGCAGAAGTGGCAAATTTCTGGTAAGTGGTGGCTGGTCTGTTCAGAAGGAAGATAAGTTAAAAAAAGATTGGAAAACAAAAACCCTAAATGTAGCAGGGTGAAGAGCAGATGAGAGCAGCTTTACCTCTTGTCAACTCTGTACAAGACACCTGCCTGTTCTGAAACAGAATGGGCTGCTTCTACAGCTCCTTATCATGCTCTGGTATCTCTGTGCACAGCTAAAGCCTGCCTGAGTTCATTGAAAGTTTCTTAAACCTTAACTCCGTGTATTCTCCTACCTCAGCTTTGGGAAACGCCATTAGTCAGTCATGATACACAGCGAACACAGCAATTTATGTTGCACAAAAAGCTTTACCCCCCCCCCCAAACTACTTCTTCCAAGGGTATCATGCTGAGCATGTGGATATTAAGTTTTCAATGCTAGTTAACTCCAAAGAGTTGGAAAGTAGGTCAATTTATTTATTTTTAATGATCATGACAGAATCTTTAATTCTGATCCATGTAATAATGTAATTCAAGAGAGTATTTCCCCCTGGAGAAAATAGGGTTGGCACAGTGAAGCTGTTCTCTAAACTCAGCATGATGCATTTCCAAATGAGAGTGGAAGCTTTTCAGGGATCGCCTTCCCTACTGAGCATGTACTTATGTGCCACCCCAAACAAGATGTAATCATGTGCTTACATGCTCAGGGGCCATGACATGCAGCATCAAACCTAATGAGTGCCTTGGGCACTTCTGTAATGGAAGCAATAGTCTTGGGGTAAGAAATACACTGCTTAATTACACAGTCTTCTACCAGAGTGCCAGTTCAGATGGACAAAATCACATTACTGATTTTTTTTTTTTTTAATACTGTAGGTTTTCTGTCAGGAATATTTTAATCTATTCTACTTAAGTTAGTTAAATATTCATTATAGTGGAGACAGGTAAAATTACTTTGTTTGTGTAGTTCTTTTATCCTACTCAGTTTGCACAGTTCAATTCAAATAAACAAGAAGAGCCCCAGCATCAAAAGATTAATAGAAATGTATAGCTATGAATGCAGTCTAAAAGCAATACAAAATTATCTTTTCAAAAGGGAAGATTTAAATTTATGGCTTGTTAGATGAATCTAGGGTAAACAGTTTTTCTAAATGAGACAATGAAAATTACCTGAATTTTGTAGATTCTTCTGGTCTCCTTATCCAGGTGCAGTTCTGCAGTTTTGTGACTATGTGAAGATAATAATCTTCTGAATATCTAAAAAAGGCAACAACATCAAACACTAGAATAATATATGTATGTATATTTAGAAACAGTCTGTAAAACATTCAAATGATGCATGTATTAATAATAATGTGCATGGTGCATATATAATAGATAGCTTTTAGAACTCTGTGACCTATTTTATTTTTGTAATTTGTAACAGTACCATCTTCATTTAATTAGCATGACCTATTAAACATTGCTTCTTAATAGTGGTGTCCTAATGAACTTTTCTTTTCAGAAACTTTCAAAAGTACACTGGTTTCAAACTTAAATATTTGACCATAAATATCATAAAGTTATTAGAAATCATCTCAAGTGCAAAAGTCCAAAATAATAGAAATAATCTCTTTCTTGTATTGGTGTTTTAAGCTTCAAAAATGTTTTGAAATATGGCTCTTGCAAGCCAAGATGAAACATTACACTTCCTACGCTTTTCTTTCATTTACCTTATAGAGTCCCCAAAGCTCAATTAACCATCTAAGACCATAGACCAGTATTTACAGATGTAAGTTTTCCTTCCAATTATCTCTTAAATAAAACAATCTGTTGTTTTACACCAACCAGCACTTTGGTTACATTGGTACACGTAGCCAAAGAGCCTTCTGCTCCTTTTAAACCCTTTCAAGAGATTTACATTTGTCCATATGTGAAATACTTGAGAACATGTAAGTCAAAAGAATGGAGACATTTCTTCCCTTATAGGTTCAATATTAATACTTCTCCCATTTGTGCTTGGATCCTAATATAGTTTTTTTAAAAACAATAACTCTGACTTATAAGGAGGACTGGGGGAATGGGAAGAAGAGATGATATGGATGCCATGACTACAAATTCTATGGAACTCATGTCTCCAGAAAAGCTCTACCTTGTATTATTTTAGCAAAAATGGCTTAGCTTTGGCCCAAAATCAAATGATCATGTGTTTATTTAAGCTGGAACTTAGAAGTGTGTATTTTGAACAGTTTTACAAGAGTTGGGATGGCAAGAAACCTCACTTGTCTTTAAATGGAGCATGAGAATTGATAAAAAGGAATACAAAAAAGGCTGTGATGGCTTGCAACAGCAGAGGTCAACAACCCGAAAGCTTCCTTCTCTCTCTGTGTTCAACATGCTTTTAGTACCACAGCGTTATGGTAAACATTTGGAAAAAAAAAAGATCCCTTTTTTTGTTTGCTTCATAAAAGTACCACAACTGATAACTTGTTTTATCCACCGCTGAGTAAAATCATGTCTCATTTCCACATGGAAAAAGAAATGAAACTTTTTAGAGGAATTCTGCATTAGAATTGGTCTTTGGCTCAAGTTTGCACTTGTGACAATATGTACGATTTTCATTCTCTAGACTTAGCAAACTCTTAAAGAAACTAGATGATTGTGACTAAACTGATTTTACTGAGCCCTTGCACAACTCAAGAGAACAGGAATGAATGGGCAGAAATGGGAGAAGAGCAAAACTAGTTTCACTGCAACTGTAGCCGATCTGACCTGGTGCAGCACATTCTTCCTCCTTCCAGTCCGATTCCAAATCTGTTCTCCCCTGTCACTGCTGGTATTTACTTGACTCCACCTCTGTTTTGTTTTTGCCAGCTTTTGCACTTGTCAAATGCCTTCATAAGCCACTTTAATTCACTACCATGGCAAAAAAATAACCCAGAAAGAAAAAAATATGCATATACATGTTCTCCTTTAGTGTGTTAAAGCAGATCAGGAAAGATTCCATCGAACACCACAGCCAGTATAAGTAAGGAGTAATGGGAGTGGAGAAACTGGGAACAAGGCCTTCCTATTTTGGCAAGCTGCCTGCTGGTATGTTGTATTAGCAGCCTTGGAACTGCAGCCAGAGAAAATGGAACTACTTTCTTGCTGAAGCTGCTACCTACACTGGCTCACTGTGGGGTCAGAAAAGTGTCAGTACCAGCACAGGGCAGGATAGGGAGTGTGTGTGGGGGGAGGATGGGATAGAAGCACAGGACTGAAATAGCTTATGCTGATATTGAATCACTCATCTAGTTTTATTCCTTAAGGCTACACAATAAATAACTCTCAGACGCTGGGACTTACAGAAAAATTCCAAAAATTAATAGGATAACAGGACATAAAGAGTTACTTAGGCTATCATTATCTAGGAGAAAAAAAAATAGAAAAAGCAAATTCTAGCCTAAAGACATTGATAAGATGAAGATCAGAGTCAGAAATGAAAAGAAAAATTACGATCAGCTCAGAAAGAAATCGCATGGACTGACAAGTTGTTAGCAAGTTACAGGGAAACATTTGGTAAGGAGAAAAATCACAGCATCATCCATAATGCTTTTTCTGAGGCCTCTGGAGAAACATGGCCACTCACTGTCAGAAACTGTAAGGATCTTCTTATACATGTAACAGAAGCTGCACCTAGGGTAGAAACACCAATTACAATGCTAGAACATTGCTGCCTTTCCACCGCTCTCTGCCGGGTGGAATCACTCTTGCTCAGAGGTGTCTAAGCTCACCAGCTCACCCAGAAAAGCACCACTTACAGTCCTTAAAAGGCACACCACGACCTCTGCTCCACCTGTGCATCCAGTTTTGCTCCTCTTGTGACTTACAAAGACACTATGGACTGCCAGAACTCCTCCTTGCCAGCGCTGGCACAGCACCATAAGTGGCAGAGATAACCCAGCAGCATGTTCGGGGGGGGGCAGGAGCTCCTGACTGTGGCAGCTCTGCAAGGCGGCCACCACATCTGCTCACACCAATGTAAGGCTTCCGTGAAATGAACTCTACTTGAATACAGACAAAATTCCCACAGATTAATTTTTTTAAAGACTCAAAGTGAAGCTCTGGGATTTGCTGCAGCTGGGTTTACAGCCCAGAAAGCCTTGTTTTCTCTCAGAAAGCCTATTTTAGCATTTCCTGCTTTAAAGAAGCCTCAGGGACTCCTCCAATGGAATCAGTCCAGAAGGCCATCAGAATATCATTTCATGGCTTTGCTGTAACCCAGACAGTCCTCTTCTCCACTGTTCCGTTTTGAAGAGCTGGGACAATACATATATTTCCATTGGCACCCAGGAGTTTACAGCACATATTCACTGATGCTAAAAAGGTTTTATTATTAAGGCAAAAAAGCTCAGGTAAATTGAACTATAAAAATACATGGACAAGACAATAATTACAGTGCTGAGAATAGTGAATGAAACATGTTTCATCCTGGTTTTGTCTGCCACCTGCACCACAACCATTATAACAACTTGCTGTTGTAGGAAACTCACTTACACTGTATGAGCCTTGCTGACAAATAACACATGGAAGGTTTTTTTTTGCCTATAGTACTTGTCGGGTACACAGTGACCTTCTACATTAACTGCAGTGGCTAAGGTGGAATTATTATGCACAGTCGAGGCACTGACAAAGTATAAGTATCTTCTAATTTTTGGCAGATTATCTAAAGGACAACAGCAAGGACAGAAGTGCTGAGATAGCAGGGAGACAATAGGCAAAATGTCAGAACAGAGAGACAGATGCAGCCCCACTGGTTACTCGCTAAAACTAAACACCTGCTTGAAAAAAAGGCTATTTGAATTAGAAAGAAAATTGAGCAGCAGGAGTGAAAAAAGGAGATATTCCTACTTGGCAGCTTATGTTCAAGAAAGAGACAAATAAAAATAAAAACAACATCAGGAAACGCAAGAGACAAGGAGGATCTCTTTTGCCTTTGGACACTTTAATACTACCAAAACAACTATCAGTTTTTAAAGCCCTCAGGAGAATGTGCACAGGGCTTGCTCTAGAATAAAAATGGAAAACTGCCAGCAAAACTCAGCATTTCAGGCTTTTTATCACCACCAGCACATACCTGCTATAATAGTAACTTCCCACTTACATAGCATTTTTTACTATCAAATCATTCGACATGCTTTAAAGTAGTCATTTTTTTCCCTTTCTGCCTACTTCAGAGACAAGAGTGTCCAGAATGTCCCTGAAAGTCTAGAACTGCAATATAAAGCATTTATATACCTTGCCTGTGGGTCACACCTTGAAAAAGCAACAAAGATCCCCGCAGCTCCTCTCGGTGAAGGGCAATGAGTTGCAATATTCATGGCGCAAAGCAATCCCTTGCTTCTTTGATCCAAGCATCAGTTTTTCTTTCTACCTGCCCAATTCATCTTCTGCCTCATTAAATGGTGCAGCTCCTTTCTCTTTAGTCACAGAATGAAGGTCTCACAATTCCTAAAGCTTCTCCTACAATCTCAGCTCCAAAATGTTCTAGATATGAAGAGGACATCTGCATTCCGGAAGACTGTACAACTTTGTAACACACGGGATAAACAACAGCATTTGTATTACTGTAACTGTATTTTAGAGTCAATGCAATGACTAGTTGTCCTTCTCTTTGTGTTAATCACTCAATTCTTCAGTCAACTCTTTCACCTCTGTTTGCCAATCCCTGTTTCAGCTCTCACTAGCAGCGCATCAGTAACATAGTGGTCTACCACCTTTCAAAAGAGTAAAAGCTTCAATGATAGTGCTGCTGATGAGGTGGAATATTGATGGGAGAAGAGGTTATAGAGGAGAAAAAAAAAGAAAGCATTAAAAGAGTAAAGACAGAATGCTGAGAATATGGTGACTTAAAAATAGTGAAAGATCTTAAAACACAACGAGAAAGTGAGGAGGGGGGCAGAAAAGACAGGAGAAGTTTTAAAATCATGATTTAATGCTGTTTCTGTGTTAAGAAAAAATTTGACTTCTTCAGTCCTTTGAATGGGGAAAGGCACACAATAATTTTTAGCACAGCTTTTGTTTCTCATTCCATTTCTCCTCTCTTCACAAATGGAGGGGGAAAAAAAACCCAAACACTTCCAATTTTAAAGACACCATGGCACATAATTAATTTTAAGCTGGAACTCAGTCCTAATGGGAAGCCTTTCTTATTTACAGTGTTTTATTTATTGGTGCATCCATATAGGCAAAGTGTTACATGTCAAAAGCAATGGGGTGCTTCTCCCATTTTCACTTTAACAAGTGACAAGAAATTTGAGCAGGGCTGATATCAAATATTTTTTTCCATGTCAGGAAAAGGCAGAACAGCAAGTTGAAACCCAAAATTAATTTGGGGTGTTTTTTCAATGCATCTAAAATTAAATAATTAGCTTCCTGTGGACTAGTTATTTTAATGAGTGCAATTAATTAGCAAGTTTTTATACTAGTACATTTTTATACTTACTCTAGTGAATATGCTGAAAAGAATCCATTAACTGAGGTTGCTCATAGCAGGAGTGTTCACCAATCAGGAAAAAGACACTCAAGAATGAAATTATGCCTCACAAATTCTGTTCTACCTTTTTGTGAATATCTTGGAATAAAATGTTGCTAACTGGCAAGGAGAAATCTTGTTGACTTATACTGTGAAAATAAAAAAAATAAAATCCAACCTCGAATAAATCTAATACATGTGAAAGAAAAAATGCAGGCAAACATTGGTTGAACAATTTCAGTTTCCTGTTGTATAGCTCCACATTAATATCATCGAGAATTATGTAAAAGGGACAATCTTTTACCCTTCTATTTAAAACAAACAAAATAGAAAGCACAGTAAACACCTACCTTTTCTTCTTGATAGATGATGACAAAATATTGTCCTGAATTGCCTTACATTTTGAAGCCTGTTCAAACTCGTAAATTCCATTTTTATTAACAGTTGTTCTGTTTAAGGGTGGGGGAGAAAAAGCAACAAACTTTAAAAGAGAGAACATATTCTGACAACGCTGTCACATTTACTTTGCTATGACAATAAGATTAATAACAGTTGATTTAGCTGAAAACATTACTAAAGAAATCTTATTGACTTCTATTGTGAAGCTCTTGTATAAAAAGGGAGTTTTCTGCTAGTGACTATAAAATATTTGATTCTTTAAAGTAACTCAACTTCATAGTCTGAATGGTTTTCTCTTTTACACTGTAATCAGAAAATGTAATTTAAAAAAAAGAACTGAAATGGAAGCCTCTTGAACATTATGTTTGGAAGATATTTAAAATATTCACCAGTAAAATACTTAGCACGTGTGATTTCCTAAAGTTGTTGATGAAATGCAATATTCAAAGCCAATATAATATGTACAGGAAACACCACAGGTGAGGTGGATCTTTTTACTTGGACTTTAACTTACTGATTTGAGCTTAATACTTCCTCCCTTGTTTATTCTTTAGTTACACAGTGAGAATAAATATTTGTAAAAGGAACCAAGGCAAATGCCAGACAGTGATCTTTAATTCCTGTTGTCTTATTTTCACCAAACTCCTGTGTGGTCCTCTTGCTCTGGCAGTCCCAGTAGAAGATTGAGCTGTAAATTAGTAAATGACTGAGATACCGAGGTCTTATTCCATTCACCTCAGTTCACGCTGTACCTAGGTTCAAGCTCATACAATCACCCTCTTCCTCATCAACCTTCTGGTGTGTGTATTGCCATTTATCATGAAGTTTTTTCCTCCAGCATTTTTATTTTCCTTGCTCCTCATCATCTTCCCCTCTCCCCCTCTCCACCCCGTTCCTTTTGGGTTCTTTCCACTGATTCACTACTTGCAGAGGACTTGGACACTGCAACCTATTTGTCCAAACCAGAACTAGAAATACAGAAGACAGATGTTGTGTCATTCACTCCTGGGTGTGAGCTGCAGCAGTGAACAGAACCTGTGCTGTTCTTAGAAACACAGAAAAAACAAGCCAACTCTGTACAGAGGCACTCATACACAAAGAGAAAGGGTCTTCCTGCTTTGTACACAATGCGCTCTGCTTCTGAACCATCATTCCTTTTACTAACAAGGACCAAAACTCCATTGCCTTTACCTGCTAAAACATGGAGACCACTTATCAACAAGATTTCTGACAAGCTGATTTTGATGCTCTTACTTGGGAAAGATGCCGTTTCAAGTCACTGAATCACAGAGTGGCTGAGGTTGGAAGGCACCTCTGGAGGTCATCTGGTCCAACCTCCTCCTCAGGCAGGGCCACCTAGAGCCAGTTGCCCAGGGCCATGTCCAGCTTTTGAATATCTCTAAGGGTAGAGGCTCCGCAACCTCCCTGGACAACATGTGCCAGTGCTTGGTCACCCTCACAGTGGAAAAGTGTTTCCTGATGTTCAGAGGGAACCTCCTGTGTTTCAGTCGGAGCACATTGCCTCTGGTCCTGTCACTGGGCACCACTAAGAAGAACCTGGTGCCATCCTCTTGCACCCTCCCTTCAGGTATGTATATACATTGATAAGGTCCTACCTGAGCCTTCTCTTCTTCAAAAATTAAAATCTTAAACAATTCAAATGAGAAGAAGTCTGACTGAAGAACAAAAAGCAGAATAAATGCTTGTTTATTTTGCTACTGAACTGACTGGCATGTTCATAGCTATGACAGGGGAGGAAAAGGAACAAAGTGCCTTTCCTTCGCTTTCCATTGCCCATGAACTTTCTAGTGAATCAGTCACTCCACAGGAGCAATTCACTCAGGACATAGGCTGCAGAGGAGAGAGATCAGCTCTCCCCTTCTCTTTCCACCATCAGGAACTTCTTCCCAGTATACCGCCAGTGCCCCTAAGGAAGTATGCAGTCTGCATGCCCCTTGTTGAGGGCAATGGTAAGACAACACAACCTCTGTCCTTTCAGTTCTGCAGTGACTTTAATAGATAGTGACAGCTGGCACTACCTATGGAGAGCTCCTTGGCTGATTTTGCATATAGCTCCTTACCTAATTCTTTTTCAAGGAGCGACATACAAATGTGAGGGCAGAAGGCTCTCAGAGCATACAGTTAAGAGGATCAAGCACACAACTCAGCAATCTTACATAGCAAGCGCCGGCAAATATTCTGCCTACACCATTTACGCACACAGGTTTATTGCAGCTTGGTCTGAATGGTTCTGTCTACACCAGAGAACCAGGTAGGCCCTTTCACAAAAAGAACCCAATACCAGTTCCCAAACAAATTTAGTTAGCACAAATCATGTTTCCTCTCTCTTGCTTCTTTAACTCAGTAAGCTCAAATTATTCTTCTTTAAGCTGCAGCTGCAGCTTAAAGTAAGAGAAACGGCTACAGGCAAAGCTTTGCTGTATAAACAGCACCTTAAAAAAAAAGAACTATTGATATCATAAGCCAAGTGCATGTTACTGCTGCAAATAAGTCTTCCATCACAACTAAAAATCAAGATGCTGGATGCTGATCTGAGAAGTGGCCCCAGCCCTTCTGAGCCACAGCTGGCCAGAGGAGACCTTCTTTAACACACGAAGCCTGCCAGGAAGACCAAGTCAGAGCAGGCAGTTAGGTTTAATCAGCTCGCTGTGAGGTGCGTTTGCAGGCAACGTCGGAGAACCAACGTTCTTTCACAAGTAGGTTTCAACTCTGTGAAGAGAATCATTACAAGGTCCTTACAGCTTCCATTTCATTTATGTCCTGAGATCAGTGGGGCAGTGAATAAATATTCTCTCAACCAAACACAAGCTTTACTCACAAACTTTCAGTCTTTTTAAATTCATAGCACTAAGATCAACTGAAGCAAGTTTACAGTTGGACTCGGTGATCTTTTCCAACCTAAATGATTCTATGATTCTATGACTCTAAGTTGCCTCATTTTTTAATATGTAATTGCTTTTTATGCACACATTTTCAAGACTTGAAAAATTCAAAAAGGAAGAAGTCAGATAAAAAAAATGAGCAAAATAAATCCCTGTTCTGTTTTGTCACTAAATTCCGACAATCACTTTTACAGCCATCAAGGGGAGAAAAAAGGAATAGGAGTCTTTCCTTCCCTTTCCATGACACGTGTAAAGATTGGTGAAAATGGCACAACTGTGGGGAAAACCAGACACGAATTTTAATCCAAATTCTTTATCCATATAATGCAGGCACAAGATTGATCACCAAAATGCTTCTTCTGTGGCTTTTTCCACACAAAATTTACTCAACGCTTTTTATATGGTGCAAAAAGATACAAAAAGAAAACAATTTATTTGCAAGATGTGCAAAACAATGACTTATTCTAGTAAAAGTTTCACCGTCAGAGTTGTCTCTGCTTCACGAGTGAAAGATTTCTGCATTCAGATAAAAGGGGTGTGCAAGGGGCAGTCCAGACTTCTACTGCATTATTCATTACAGAGTTGTGCAGACATCAGATTAGATTTCTGATCACTTAGGACAATTACGCTAGGCAACATTTATCACTAAATGAATTTACCTCACCTAGTGGATGACAGTCTTTGTTCAATACTTAGAACTGCACTAAAAATTCTGCAATGAAATCAGATAAATGCCTAACAATGCAGATATCAGGCTACATTCAATTACTTTTGCAAAATCTTAAGCTAGATGAGAACTTGAAGTGGAAACCATGTTATATTCTGTTGGCTTGAACTTATAAAACTGATGAAACAGGGACATCTCTGTGGCATTTCCCTTACAGTTTAGATATTCTCAAAGCCAACCTCACTGGCCAAAATCTGAAAAACAGGGGGTTTTTTAAATCATAAATGAACAGCTTGAGGACCACATACTTCCTATCGTAATTCTAGGAACTCAGAAAGTACACCATCTGTACTTTAATAAATCCACAGTAGATTAAGACCATGTGCCATATTTATCAGCACGTTGTTATTCTACGTCTTGCTCTCAGGAAGACAGCAGTTCCTTAAACTGTAAAATTCTTTAAGATAAAGATTGCACCCACCTTTAGAATAAGAAGTAGAGAAACTATATGGAAAGTCCACAGCCCCTTTTGCTGCACCTGTAGCATTTAGTCCTGAGACTATAGGGAGCCTTAGCGCAGGGAATCACCGGATAGACAGGTACCTCAGTTTTAACATGGAGTTCTGGGGGAGCAGTGGTACAGGGAGGGAATGAAAAGGGAAGCCCTTCAAAAACAAAACCAAACTCAACCCCAAACAGTTATCAGAGTAGGGAAATGGATGGACATACGATGGATGAAAAAAGGATGAATGGTAAGGAAAAAAAAAGAAAAACCAGATGGAAAAATGAAATATAGTGCTGTGAATTATACCATAACATAAAGATATGCCCAGGACTGAAAGGCCAATCCTCCAGAATTCCCACAAAACCAGCCGGAAACAACTGAAAGAATGTGGAGTGAGATTTTCAGAAGAGCTCAGAACTGGACTGTCTGGCAGCACTGAAAGCAGTAAGAATTTCACCTCTAAAAAAGTTAAGTCCACACTGAACATAAGGAAAAACCCCACTCACTGGCTTTATTCACTCCTTGCCCAGCAGAACTAGTTGTTGCACTTTTTCTATGGCTTCCGGCTCTTGTCTGCCTGACACAGCACAGGACCTCTGAACCCTGTTCCAGCTGAGCATCTCCAGCTAAAAGGGATAACTTCTGCATGCAAAACGGCACATTTATATCCTTCTACCAGACTGGCACTCAATGACACTATCCAGATTGTGAATACCTTCTGTCTTAATCTCTCCCTTGAAGAGACTAATTTATATTTGAATCTCATAGTCTATTAGTTGAATACTATTAAAAACCCATAATCCATACTTCCCTAGGAAGCACGCTCTTAAGTGCTATCTTTGACACTATTTCATATGATTCAGATGATAAGAATATAGTGACGTTTTTAAGGTTGACAACACCTTGATTAGGAAGGCAATACACAATTTAAATGCTCGGTGAAATGGACTATAAAAATGGCTGTATCAAACCATA